AAGAAACTATAGCTTTCTGACGGGCTTGGACTTCGTGACAATCATTGGTTTTAAGATTTAGAAAGCAGTAAGCGGAAGCAAAAACTAATGGAGCTGGAGCTTACAGCAGCAGCAGCTCTGAAGCTTTTTGCAGTAAGTTTAGCTTAAATTACTTCCTTAATTCTACTATCAGGATAGGTCCCCCAAAAATTTTCTTTAAATCTGGTCCCTTTTCCCCATACGAAATGCCACCTATTCTAAACTAGTCTTTGACTGCTAATTTTCCCAATTTTTTTTCTTTAAATATGGTCCCTTTTATTGATCTGGTGCTCGGATTAGTTAGGGTCGAAGGTAAGGACAAGAAGGGAGATCCAGAGGGCTGCGCCGCTGCTTCAAAAAGGACTCTGTGCACCTAAAAGTCTTTAATCATTTAGTCTAGGGTTTCGGGATGCAGGGTTGGCTCGGCAGAGGCATTGCAGGCTAGATGCAAAAAGGATGGCTTATTTACTTTGGGATGTATTTTTGACGTGGGTCCCCTCAACCTCATTCGATGTCAATTTTTCAGACGCACCCAGTGATTACACCCAGAGGACTGACATTTGTGCGAGCACTGGCAACATGGCAGGTAGTAAGAGCGGTTCAGTCCCACGGTTAAGACCATGCCATGGCATGGGCCGGCGTGCTTGTGAAAGCCATCTTGGAACCCCTACAAGAACCACTCCATGAGCAATCCCTTCATATCCCAATACAATCCTGTGTATCCTATGCGTCCTTGTAGCCTTATATCTCTATGGAATCTCTCTCTCTCTCTCTCACTCTCTCACTCTCTCTCTCTCTCTCTCTCTCTATACATATGTATATATATATATGTGTATGGGTGAAGTATGTGGGCACGTCCATCTGTGCATATATGCATTCATGTCAGAATGCAACATATTCATAGGTATCCGTGTCTACCCTCATCCATCCTCATCCTCTGAAGCCAGGAGATCAGTGCCTTTTCCTTTGTTCCCTTGGGTTTTTGTACCCTTCGGTTTGGATCTCTAATCATGGAATATAGCCCTTAGTTAAGGTATTTGGGACAAAGCTCAAGGTTTTTAGGGTACGAGCTGAAAATCTTTGAGGAGACCCCCTAAACCTTGAACCCTAAACCCCATAACCTAAACCTTAAAAACCAAACCTTAAACCCCCAGGAGACCGGCTTCCTGCGGCCGCCCGAACCCGAGGCTGGCACTTTGCTTTGCCGACGCTCCTTGTGGTGCCCTCTTCTGGCTTTAAGGTTTAGTGATTGGGGTTTAGGGTTTAGGGTAGGGATTGGGGTTTAGGGTTCAGAGCCTGGAGTGGGGCGGTGTCCTGCAAAAGGGTTCAGGGTCTAAACTCCTTAAAGGGGGGTTATATAGGGGAGTATTGTAGAGGTCATTTTTGACGAATGTAAGGCCTTGGAAAAGGGCTGTAGGGATGTGATGGGGGATATATATATATATATATACACACATAATTCATTACATTCGGGCTGCAAAGTTCTTCATTGAAGATCTGTGCAGCTAGAGGACAGGGCATCCTCTACAGTTCATACAGGAGCGAAAATGTACCTGCTAGTAAGTGGGCAAGTTGCGGCATATCGGGATTGTGGGGGGGGGTTGTCCCTGACAACCCCGAAGAACTCCAAAGAGGCATCCCTGACGTCTGGAAGCATGGCACATGTTGCATCCCCTTAGAAACCACAGGCCTGGGCCGAAGTGGTTGAGAAGCTGCTGGAGGACCCTAGTTTGGTGGAGATTCCCCAAATGCTGGATGACTCTACGCTCTATGTTCTTTCAAAAGTATTCTATTACATCATGGTTGTGCAGGATGTCTATTATCAATCAGGATTCGGCGCGGACGGGAATCCAGTACATGTGCCACGCGCGATTTTCTACGCGGAGAAGGGTTCGGACTACTGTGCTGTTACATCGTCATTGTAAGGTTATTGCTTCGCTACGAGGATCGGCATGATGTTAATGAGCAAGTGTTGGAAATTGAAATGCATGACCGGGCGACAGGTTGAGATATGCTGCTGGTGTTAAAAGGTTTGGGGCAGGAAGGGGCCAGTGTTGTAACAACTGGTCTGTTTCCCTGGAGGGATGATGCGCGCAATCGTCCACAGTGGCTTGCTTGGCACACATGGCATGTGTGCAGTATCAGCGCGGTTGCAGATGAGGACCCTGCGCTGCGAAAGCGATTTGGAGAGGCCACCCGATGGCGGGGTTTCAGGTGAACAAGTTGATGGTCTGTTTGATGCATAGAAGTACGCCCATGTACCCCATGCGGAGAAATTCCTCCTTCACAGAGGAAGGCTTCTCGAGGGTGGGAGATCAGGCCTAGGTTTGTTGGCCTCAGCGTACGGGCCCGACAGAAGCGCACGTAAGCCGGGGTGTGTGCTGAGCGCAGAACACTTATGTACTGGTTAGTTTTCCTGTTAGGAGGCGTGTGCCTGCCCTTGCCAGGCAGGCCCACGGGGAGAGACCCTAAACCTAGTGATCATTGATGGATCGTCATTTTGGGACCCAGTCTCTGCACTGTTGTCCTTTTGCCGCCCGGCAGACACAACAAAGTTCATTCAGCGAGTAATTATTGCAACGATTGCCAAAGCAGGCCGTAGCATATTGGCAATCTGTCGTAGTAAGTGTTTGTCTTGTGTAACGAGTTTCCAGGAAGTAGTGTTGATCATCCCGTGAGCTGCAGCGACAGCCAGGCCCTGTGCACAGCCTAAGCCTCAAACGCCAAACACCTAAACTCTGCAATGTGGCCTACTGTACCCTCAACCACCAAACACATAGAAGAAATGTGGGCAGTGGAAGCAGGAGAACCTTCAGGCGGTAAATCGCCCAAACTCTCAAAACCCTAAGCCTTAAGCCCTAAGCTGTGAAACCCTCGCAAGGCCGGTCGTCAACGGGCTAGCAGCCACTTCTCGCTGCAGGCTTGGTTGCGGGGCAGTGGATGCCGTCTAAAATCGAAGCGCAACGGGGAGAACGAAGATGGGAATCAAATGGAAGCCGTTCTGTAGATGGGTCGAGAAAGTATAGGAGCCATGGTGTTTCGGCCTGGTAGCAGATTGTCAATCAGTGAATGAATAATCGGGTGTATGTCAGGAGTGCTGATTTCAAAGGCCTGCATGTACAGCAGACTCCACATATTGGGGCCGGAGTTCAGGGTTCTGGCATTCCTGGGAAGCTGCTTTCTGGGATGGCTGTCCAGAGTGTCGGGAGTGGGTCCTGACAATGCAAGCTGGGTCAGTGATGTGTCTGTGGAACAGAGCGAGGCGGAGGGTGCTCTTTTTTCCCACACCCTTGTGTTTGTTTGTGGGGCACATCTGGGTAGGGATTTGACAAAAGTGGGTTGGGATTGTTTTTCCCTTCAGATGGGCTTCAGGTAGGGATTTGACAAACCAGTACGGGTAAGGATTGAACAAAGTGGCCATGGGCTCTCCGGGATTTGAACAATATGAGGAAGCTGAAAATGGATTTCTGATGCTTAACTTGTTCAAATCTGTGCCAGCATCTGGAATCCATGTTCAACTTTGTCAGATCCCCATCCAGTGGGTTCAAATCCATCGCCATCTCTTGGAATGCCCCTGGCCACTTTTCTCAGATCCTTATCCAGGTCCAAGGTGGGAGAACTGGGTCAAAGGTTTGGCAAAGCATGCTTTCTAGCAAGTTCTTGGAGCCTGCTAGGAAAATATGTTTCAGTTTCACATTCCGTGGAAACAACAAGGTGGACTGTGGCTATGGGCATCAGTGGTTTGAATTTGGATTGTGTCATGTACATCAAGTCGTGGTCATTGACACCGGGGAGGGTCCAACAAGATCATCGAAACTAAAGACCAGCCGGGGCCTGCGACCGTTGTTTGAGAGAGCGTTCTCCCAGTTCTTCAGGCAGGTGCAGTATGCCTTGGACCTATCGGCCTTCCATTTCCATCTTGCATCGATGACACATTGCATGGCAGTTTTTTTGGCTGGAATCTCATGAGCGACCAGTAGCGTTCAAGGTGATCGACCGACGCAGTGGGTTTCAGCAATCTTTAAGGTCGGAACAAACATTGCGGCGAATTTTTCCGTAGGCAGAGCAGATTCACTAGCACAAAGAGCAAACAGCTTGCTCCATGCAATGACGGATGCCAAGCTGCTCCTGGGGGTTCACGACGCGGAGCCGATCCAAAGCACCATGGGTGACCCCAATGTATACTCTCCGGCTGCCCGGATTGTCTGCTCGACCAGCATATTGTGGTTCTTTGTCCCTGTTGTGTGGAGTTGCCAAGTTCCGGAGAGGTCCATGCTTTTGGAGACTGTTTGGGCCGCAGATGTCTTCCTACTTGGCGCTGCTCTGAACTACTGGATGGATGGAACCCGCTACACTTGGAAAATGTTCCTTGATGTGGTAGCAGTTGTGACATTGTGCATGCTTGGCACGGTTCACGCATTCGCCTTGGGCGGCATGGTGCCTTGCGCGGCCGCTGTTCCAGGGGCAGTCTTCGCATTCTGCTTCGTGGTGAACTGTATGCAGGTCTCAACCTGTGGAGGTGCTGACAAGGTTGACACTACATGGGTCCTTACCTTCCTCTCATACCGTTGGGGAGGATTGGTGGCCGCTATTGTCATCATGAGTGCAGCCAGTAACTCAAACCTGTCTGCGATTTGGACGTCTTGTTGGTTCAGGGTGTTGGTAGTGTCCATTGCCTATTACTTGCACAACCTCAAGGTCTGGTACGGGACGCTGCACCTGAATCGTCTGAAAGGCGGTGACCGTGAGGCATTTACCTTTGCGGCCCTTCGTTACATGCTGGAGGTTTCCGCTGTGTGCGCTTTGTGCGCAGGCATGAAGGGCTAGATTTCTGGAGAAGCCTGACAATGGGTATTGGCGGTAGTAGAAGAACACTGATTGCGGACAGTATATCAGTGACGTTTGACAAGCTTCATCCAAAATCATGACAAATATTAGCATCCATTGTCAGTGCCTTGATTCCCAATGACCCAGATTTTGACACCCGCTCCGACCTACGTGAGTCATAGGAAAGACCTCACATTCAGAGAGGATTGTAGGGGAGATTGTCAGCCAAAGATTTTAGGGGCCCCCCCAAAGAGGAGGGACCCCCAATTTTGAGAAAGCCTCACATGCGAAGGAGGTTGTATATACCATGGTGTGGTTGTGTAAAAAGAAGTTCTTGCCATGCATTGCCCGTACCCCGAAAGACGATACAGAACTTGATTTCTGGGCTGGAACGCGAGAGACCTTGAAGACTTCGAGCATGATCAGCATCAGAACCACTGACAGCGACCTCTCGTCTTCTTGGAACTGTTTTCCTCTAACGCATCCGCCGGTGGTTTGCGGAAATGGGGTGCCCAAGCCCACAGAGCCTTTAGTCCCCGGAACTAAGTGCAACCAGAATGACAATAGAGCCCAAAGGTTTCTCCGAACCCCTGCGCACCCCGAAATGTGATGATCTTTCTTACAGCAACCAGGCTTTCTTTGGATGGAGCCTCAAGAAAGGACCCGCAATGTTTGGACCCCTCAGGTAAGTTGTAGGGCGATCTCTGCTTGGAAGGCCTTTGGGCAAACTCTGGACACGGCGGTCCGCAAGAACGAGGCTCTCTGAGATTCCTACTGCTGGGCTGGGGGGGGGTTACATATGCAGCGCATCTTGCTGTAAGGAATCTATGAGGTTTGTGACTTAGCTTTTGCAATTTTTGTGCGGGGGGATGCTTGGGGTTGGGACTCTGGATCTTTTTACATCACCTTTGGGGCTCATACCATGATGTGATGGCCAACTCTTGCTTGGAATCCATCCGAGGATGGTTTGTTAACTTTGCAAACCTTATCCGGGGTGCGGTTCAGAATAAGAAATTGGCGGGCATGCAGTGCCATCAGTCTTCGCAACGGGTCTAGCAACACAAGCAGGCCTCAGCCATTCATAGTCATCTGCCTCTGCGGCCTCATGGTCTTGATGCCAATTCTAACCTTGCTGGTTCGTGAGGATCGTGCGCCGAAAAAGCAACGCTGATGGACGCAAGGGGAGTCGTGATGTCACCGCTGAGGGGCCCTTCCTGCGCTAAGCAGGGTGAAGTCTTAGAGTCTCAGCGTTCCGGGTTTATGGTCTGAGTCCTTCAAGCTTCGGGGTAGAGGGCAGAACATATGGCCGTGCTTATGTGACTCGGTTTTGTATAGGCTTGAAAAAACATGGATTGCGTTTGACAGACTTGTTGGGATCCGCAATTGTCAGCCGCTTCCTCACTACGATTCCAGTCCAGTCACCGGAAACATGAGACAAGTCAGGGTACTGCAATGATACCTGCCCATGATGCTGGAATAGTAGTCGAGAGACAACAAAGCACATAATACGAGCTTCCCCTGAACGCTTTAGGTGTTTGGGTTGTTTGCGCGCAGTGTTCTGATAGTAGTTGGCTGGTGTTCATCTTGTGGCCTGATATCAGCGCATGAAGCGCACACATTCCACAAAGAGCTCGCTTGTTTGATTGTGTCAGAGTTTCTGCGGTATCAAGGCTTCTACAAGACATGACTCTGACAGATTCGGGGATTCGATTCAAAAAGGTAGACTCTAATCTCAGACCTCAAGCCTCCGAATACGCGCGTCTGGACGCGGTCGTCCCTCGCATCCCCTGCAAAACTAGCACCCGTGTTCCTACTAAAGGGAACTTCTCAACCATATGGGTCATGATTAAATTGGTTTCTGTTTCACTGCCAGCCCTGTACATACCACCACGGAAGGGAGAGCAGGTCTGAAGCAAGACCCGCAATTCTATTGCGAGACTGAGTAACTGGTAATGGTAGTCCCGCTACGCTTAGAGTATGTTCGCAGGCATCAGTTTGGCAGGTAGTTGCTCTTCAGGGTGGCTCTAACAAAGGCTGTAGTCTTGAGTTTAGCCTTTAGAAGTTGTTGCCCAGCATGCAGGGTTTAGAAGCCTCTCCCTTTCCACACAGAACCAGAGGGGCTCGCAGGGGCGGAGAGGTGCAAAACGCGCATGATGGCAGTCGCAGTTGCTGGAGAGTATGGGTTCCAAGTTGGCCAGGTAGTTGTTCTTTTGATGACCACTGCTTTACATGATTTTTGTTACCTTATGGCTTGTCACCTTTCGCAGAGGAATCAATGTCTCAGCTTTTTGACGAAGCTTGCTTTATTCGAGTTGCAGCCATCATCGCAGCGCGGCCTTGCATTAGCTCCCATCCAAAGCCTTTTCCCATCCGAGAAAGCCCTGCAAAAGACATTCTTTCGATCTTGAACAATGATGGAAGTACCATTCGCATGCCGGCTTGATTACATATTCGCATCCCAGGTCAAAATTGGCAACCAAACGTGCTTTTTTTTATATGAAGCCGTACTCATTGGACGGCACCTTGGAATTCACCGCAGTTACATTGCCTTTTCAGTTGCCGTCCGTCCAAGTCTGAATAATGATACAACTGAGATTGATGCTGGATGAATTTACAGTGGTCACATGTTGGAAAGCATGCTTAAACCACAACCTGTTTTTCGCGTGCCCTGAACCTTGGAGAGGCCATGGCGCCAAACGGATATCCGTGTGGCCAAGAGCTCGGGACGCCAGGTATTTGGGCTGAGATTGAATATCTGAGAAACCTCAAGGCCTACATGCCATGAAATGAAGAGCCCTTGTTGAGCAGCATCCGTTTTGCGGGAGGCCTGGGTCCTTCTCAGAAGTAACCGTTTTGGTCTGAGCTTTTGATTACTCTGGAGCCAGGCAAGTTCACGTGAAGAGATCATGTTGCGAAGCTTTTCAGAGCATATGTTTTCAAAAAATCGCAATCTCGGGCACTCCTGTAATTGCACGCCCGGCCCTGCAGCGCAGGCATTTGGCCCAGCATGCGCTGCACAACTCAGTTGCTATGAGGTTCCGTGATGAGGTTAGCCCAGGGCTTCGGCTTCAAAATGTGGGGTGTCAGCATCGGCGTCGTGCGTGTAAATTATCAGGTGTCATTATGAACTAAGCTGCCTCGCATCAGCTTAGCGCCATGGTCAGCGGGGCCTTTTCTTTGAACACATCGGTCTTCTTTGCAGGGCTTGGTTGCTTGGCTGCAACCTCCAGCAGCATGCGAAGCCTTTGGTCGCGAGGGTTTGCAGTTCGGAATCAGGTCTTGCAGTACATGTTTACCGGAAGTCTCCGCCCAGGATCGAGCAAACCTTTCTTTCATGCAATCTGCAATTGAGTGACAAATGTGCCCCAACTTGGTTTGAGAGGGGTTTGAAGGGTGTGTTGGCGAGAGAAGGGGCCCGGAAGGGGTAAGCAGGGCATCGAAAATCTTTCCATCTCATTACATAGTGTGTTGCAAAAATGCAGCAGGGCCGCAAAAGTCTACCCATCATGAGCAGATGCTGGCAAAGCTTCAAAATGTGTAGGGTTGGCATGCATGCGGTGCGACTACCAGTTTCCAACGTGAACGCGCCCGTCGTAATAGCAGAACACTCGTGACAACACCCTACGCATGATTGAGAACAGTACTTTTGCCGGAACAAACAAGAAATGAGTCGACTCTTCTTCAAACCCAATGCTTGAAGGGGATCCTTCAGTAACTGAAGCCCAAAGACCAAGCTGAGTGGCGCCAACCCTCAGGGCTTGGAGTCTAGGAGAATGCTGAAGCCTACATCAAAGAGCCGCTTGTCCGCAAAGCAGGGCGGGAAAGAACTCCAATGAGTGTGTTGTTTCGGGTTTGGGGCCGCCTCAAAGAGAGATCTCGGGGTCACAAAACATTGCAACAGAAGGGTGGTTTGTTCACCGCGCTGCTGAAGAGTTCACCCTTTTGCTGAGACCTCAATGTTCCATTTTCAGAACTAGCCACGCCCTAATCCCCAACGCCCAGAGTCTGTGCCCGAAAAATGACACCATGTACATTCGGGGCTGCATGTTTCGAAAAGGTGTGGATGACCCTGTGATCATGCAAGACAAGTTTACAGGAGACGTGATAGTATAGCATTGGTAAATGATCCAAATCCGCCCCTGAGGCGCGGCCAGGGCCAAAGCAAAGGGCGAGGCCAAGTCTGAGGCAGGGGCGTGACATGAAAATTTCATCGGAGCCTCTAGTGATTTGTAATGAGTGGGGCCACGGATGGAGGTTTAGGGCACGGGGGGAAGCGGGCAGCGGACGATCTCAGGATTCGCTCCTTCAGACCCTACCGCGGGAGACTTGGGTTAGGGTTAGGGAGGACTTCTTTCCATTGGCCCCGTAATGGAGAAATGCCGGTGCCATTGTGGGTGACGTGCTGTGTGTTGTTTTGAGAAGGTGTGACTTTCGGCCCCATCGTATACCCCCGGGCCGGGTCCAGAACTTCGCTGCAGAAGGTATTTGTAGCCAAGAGCACGTGAAGGGTCGACTGGGCGCAGAGTTGACGTCCTCATTGTCCAATAAGGCCAGAAGCTTCGGTGCTTCAGGTTCCCCAGCCTTAGTAGCGCTCCCGACTTGCAAAGGAAGGATAGGGTCCCACTCATCGGCCTTTCCTTGCAACTTCATTTCCTTCAGGCATGGAAGCTTGGCGCTCGAGCGAAGTCTTCCGTGAAGGGGGTGGCTAAAGGCCGTATCAGGGCTTCCATGGCTGAGGCTTAAAATTTTCTGCTCAGGCTCTGGTGTTTGCATGGGGCTTGTAAGACTTGGAACGTTGACGCGTAGCTGGTACGTCTTCATGGTTTCAATTCACAATTTAGGTGAGCAGTGGACCCCATGCCCGAAACTCAGCGCTGATTGGGTAGCCTGTCACCATTTTCGAGTCTTCGATCCCATTTCCGCTTGTACGATCAGCCGCGCAGCAGCAACTTCAACAGTTTGGTAAGTCAGGCGCTAGCATCCAACGTTCTGTGAATCCA